AAGTTTCGTTGGAACGAAGTTACGGAAAGTTAATTAACAAACGGAGACGTAACAATATCTTTATTTCTAGTAATGTGATTGATATGAAAACAAAAATTAAAAATAAACATTTCAAATTTTGTAATTTAAATTAAATAGTTATGATTATACTTAGAAAAAAAAATTAGAAAGTCTACACCTAAATTCATATTTAAGTATTTGTAAACAGGATGCCTGTTTTTTAAGTCATCACTTATACATCATAGCACTTGCATTTTTACTTATTTTAGACATAATCAATATAAAAAAATATCTTTCTCATATTATAACTTTCAAACAACAAAAAAAATCGATTTCATAACAAGTATATAAGAATTGCAAATGTCCTAAGTAATACTAACATTGAAGAAAATGGATCTGAACTCCAGAGAGCACATACTTTGTTAATGTCTGGAAAATCTAAGGCACAAAAATTTACCATGGCAACATGTGATTAGCATTCATATTGTTGTATTCCTTTAGAAATAATCAGTTATTGGTTGGAGCCATAATCAGATTGCTGCAGACTCCAAATGTATTGAATTCAGAAAAACTGAAAAAGTTTTTTACTGTAATTAAAAACTAGTCAAGTAAAAACACTGACATCCAATATTTCTTTTTAATACTATATGGCTATTTTGTTAATAATTTCTGAAAAAAAAAGAGGGATGTGGACTCTCCTAGATCTATGCCTACTTATACAACATTAAATAATAGTTATTAATTTATGAAAAAATAAATATGTGGAAGGGTTTCAACCTCCTTTGACCCTCTCCTACATTTACACGTGCTTATACAACATTAAATAATACATTTACTAATTTCTGAAGAAAAAAAAAAGGTGTGGGTCCACCCCTGGATCCCTTCACAAGATCCATGCCTGCTTATATGACATTAAAAGAATAAAGTTATTAATTTCTGGAACAAAAATGGATAGGGGGCCAGAACCCCTCCCCAAGATCTATGCTTGCTTATACATAATTAAATAATACAATTATGCAATTATAAATTAAAAACTGTAACAAAACAGTAAATTTACACCTTATTTAATACTTAGGTAGCCAAGGAGTTGGTGGTAGATGCTACCAGCCAGTTGCCTTCCTTCCAGTTAACAGCTCAAAATTAGTAACAGTTGCAGATTGCGTCAATAGTTTTGCAATAACAAAGATAGGAAAAGCAAATTTAGTGGCAATGAGAATCAAACCCAAACCCCTCAAATCATGAACCATCCCCCTCACTTACCCATTATGTAGCTTTGTTTAATAACAAATATAACAGCAATGTTTCGATTACTTGTATATTTGAACTAATCAAAAACTAATTTCGATTAGTTTTTTAATTTTTGTGACAATGGATTTAATCATAATTTCAATTAACTGATTCTTGGAATAATCAATAACAGTAATAATCAGAACAACTAATTGAATAATTTTGCAATATTGATCATTAATCAATTAGTTTATAGGGCACAAGTTGATGTAATCTCTGCTGATAAGTAATTGATTATATCAATCAAATCACCTAGCTCTAGTTGTAAGGGTTACATAGGCTTTTTGTTAATGTTAAGTAAATGTGGAAGAGAATAGATTTTCTTTTCTTATAAATACAACCATGAAGAGCTTTATATTTGACTGTTAATGTTAAGACTTTGTGTTTCAATGTACATACCCAGAGTCAATGTAAATCACATCTGATTAATTCAGATATTTAAGAGGTACTGGGGTGATTTTTTATGGTGTTACATTATGTAAGTAGTTTGTGAGTTCTTATGAAAGGCACTTCCAAAAAACAAAGAGAGACAAATAATAACACAGAAGATCAAACACAATTAGTTGAATAAAGGCAAGGAACACCAAGTATAAGAGATCAGGTTAAAAACAAAAAAGGAAATCCAAAAGGCCTTATGAGAAACAGTTGGTTTTCAATGTTAAAAGTAACAGTAAAGCTTTTTTTGAGCAAGTTAAATGCAAGCAAAATATTAAAATGGGACTTAAAAGAATTCTCACAGCAAGGTTTTTTGTTGAAGGCAATCAGAAAGCTTGCTTCTAACTATTTTTACAAGAGAGAATGTTGGCAATACTCCTGTTAGCATTCTATCAGAAATAATAGGATTGACATGAATCACAGAGATATTAATCCATTCATGATAAAATGAAGGATTGAAAATGGATAATGCAAACAACCAGATTAAATTATTCCTAGTGTACTTGGTGTACTAAGTTTCAAAAAAGCTTTCAATAGGGTGTCACAAAAGGATTAGCTAAGAAAATCACGGTGATAGGATATCAATAAAGTTCTACTAACAAGATTATTGAATGGGAAAGTAAAATGGTGTTTGTAAGTAGTTCAGTCAAATTGAACCATTGTTAGTAATGAGTACCTCAGATGTCAGTGCTTGGGTCTTTGATTTTTTATCTTTATATTCATGATATTGATATGGCATTGACTGAAAATCAATAGTGATGATGACATTGCACTCTTGGATATTTCTAACTATAATAAGGATGTTGAGATACTAGAGTATGACTTGAATCAACTGGTTAGTTGGACAAATATTTTGCAAATAACCTATAATTGCAGACAGTGCAAGATAATGCATTTCGTTTATCATAATTTGGATCTCACATTTAATATAGAGAGGAACCTCCAACAACTGAAGAAAATATTTATTGTACAGTGATGGTAATAACAAAACTTATAGAATTTCATGGTGTAATTATAGACACACTGATTACGTGTCAAAAGAGGCAATTATCTCCAAATCATTGGTTAGACTAAACTTTGGTAAATTATGAACATTTTTGGCTTCTTACCTAAGAAAGGACAATGACTTATTGGGAAGGGTTCAGTTTGTTTTGTTGTTAGCTGTGGGGGGAGAGGTGTATTACAAAAATGATTCCAGGAAATGGATGTTTATGAGGAGAGGTAAAGATCATATTTTCTTTGGTGAGAGGAAGATTATTGAAGTTTACAAGTTTATCCATAGTTTTCACATAATAACATAACATTTAAGAGATAACAAGGGGCTCCTTGGCCCATTATGGCTGTCCTGTTCATTTCATCAAACACCAATCTTTTTACATCCAGCCTCAATTCTCCAAGTATTCATCAAACCCTCTCTTGAACTCTCCCAATTTTGCTGCATCTACCATGTCTGAAGGCAGTCTATTCTAAAAGCTGGCCACCCTCCTTAAAAACAAAAAATAAATTGCATAATTTTGAGATGCTTTCTATCCTACAAAATCAATCCATTTAGAATTTTGAGCACTTAAATCAGATTTCCTCTAACCTCTTTTCTTAAGAGAAAATAATTTTAAGGATCTTAACCTGTCTTCATACAACAGCCCTTACATCCCAAATATAATACTAGTAGACCCAAGGATGAATATAATACTCTAAATAAGACCTAACCAAATATCTGTACAAATGAATGATAACCTTTTACATGCATTTACTGTTCCTGTAGAGACAACCCAAAAGCATATTTGCTTAACCACCAGTCTCTGATTTCTTTGTACTATATCCCAAAGACAACAGAATGAAAGAACAGGTTTTAAGATTTGGAAAGACAGAATAGGCTTCAGTTAAGAGTATTTTTCTTGCAGTGATTGTCTTATGCTGTGGAATGATGTGCCATCTCTTAGTAATAGAGGCAAGCAATTTACAAGAATAGGATTATCAGACTTCCAGAGTGAAAAACTGGAATTTATTTTTTCCATGTAGAGTGACACTGTAACAGTCCTGAAACATTTCAAATTACTAAAACATACTTTTTACAATTTGCTTAAATAACCTGATGTTTAGTGCATTACATTTTAAATCCATAGATAAAACAAATTTTAGAGCTTATTCAGTTAAAAGAAATTACAAAAATACCTAAGTTATCTTGAACATAGAGGAGATCTAATTGAGGTATTTAAGGTTGTTGAGAGAACTTCGTGTTACAGTCTGATACATTATCTTTTTTGTGTTAATGGTAAGATTAGGGGATATAAATATATATTTTAGCAGGGTAAGTCATCTTCAAATGAGACATTTATTTTTCTAACAAAACAGGGTGGTTGGCCTTTGGAAGGGATTGCCTTCAGATGTAGTAGATTCAGCTAATTCAATGGAGTTTAGAGGAGGATTTGATAAATATTGGAATGATAAGGGTTGACTTTGAGTGTTTTATTTTTATTTCAGAGTTTAGTAAAGTGGGTGGAATGGCTTAGATACACCAACAAGTCCAGCATTGTCCTTAAATTATATATATACTTTTGAAATGAAAATAAAAAACTACTTAAAAAAATAATTTAAATTTTCATGTTCTTTTTCATGGCTAGACAGCTCTTCAAATCTCAATGCTTGTAGCAGCTCAATAGCAAGATAGGTAAAAAAAAAAAACGTAGCAGAGAGGGGGAACACTTTATCATATGGTGTCTTTGTCAGGTGATTTTCCCACGTAAAATTTAAAGGAGCCATGTATGCTATCAAACTCGCATTTACTGATTTAGCCTTAGGTACAGAGAAACTAGGGCAATTCAATTACTTTAACTGTTTTTTCATCAAAACAAAGAAAAGACTAAAAACTGGAACAATCCCATCAGAGCATCTGGTAACCCTATACAAGCGTTTATCAAAAAAATTCGATAATTTCCTAAAACATAAATGGTGGTTACTTGTTCTCAACTCAAAGATGTAAGAGTGCAGGGTCTGTCTTAAAGTTTAAAGTTAAACTGAGCCAAATATCCTTATACCTTATGTTAAGATTTTCTAATCTAACACTATAGCGTTTTGGCTCCAAAAGTCCAACTGAGTTAATAACTTAAAAATAAAAGTTAAATCTGTATTACATGTATTATGTAATCTATTAATATTATTTAGAAATAGTATTTACTTAGTCGTAAAAAATTTTGATATTAATAATAATAAAAGTTATAAGTATACTTTTGTAACATAAGCTTATTTTAATAATAAAATCACTTAGGGATAATACATACATGAAATACAGCGAAGAAAATAAGAAAAGCCGTTAGAATCAATGCAACAATGTAGCAAAATGCGGCAAAAGTGAATGCCATAATTAAACAGTTAACACAATTTTACCACTATAAAACCCAGCTATAACTTTATTAAGTCTACACGTTATCTCATGATTAGAAAGTCAGAATCAGAATAATACACTAAAACATTATATCAAGCCATTTTGTGTCTAAATGCAAATACTTTAACTAGACACTTTGGAATTTTATTGATATTATCATGGTTCTCAAGATAAACATAGTTACATAAACCTAAAATATACTATCTTATATAAATCAAAAGAATGCTAAGTCGTATTATATACTTGTGTTTCATTTTATTTTATTAAGCTCAATAATTTAATTTTCATACTTCCTTTTTCCTTTGCCAACTTAAAGTTTATTCAGTACCAGTGTCATGTTTATGGCACTTTTTATAATTTATTTTGAAATCTATCCCCCAGTCTTTCAATTGTAATAGTTCCAATAACTTATTGTTTCTGAAAGTGTGGTCTGAGAGGGCCCTTCAAGTGGTCCAATGGCTGGTACAAAACGCAAGTCTCCGACGTGAAGCGCCACTGCCGTTGCCATACAATAGACAAGAACAGGGAGTAGGGGCAGGACCACAAGGTGGTCCAGGGGTCCTTTACCCCGCTGAAGTGATCCTCAAGCGAAAGAAGTTTGAGAACCATTGTAATAGCTAATTTATTTCTTCTATTTTCATAATGACTTTGAAACCTAAAGGATAAATTAGTTACGTGTAATACCAGAATACCAGTATAGCCTCAGTGGTGCTTAATTGAAACTGTAGCCTGACGGTCCGTACTTTGTCCTTTTCTACTCTGATTGTAGAGAGCAATTAAAATAAAAACATGAGACAGTTAATCTTGCTTGTGTTCTTCTGACAGTGCAAGCTGTTGGAAGTGGTGTAATGTAGCAGAGATCTGAGTTCCTTTGATTCTTTAGAAAGATGGGTAATATCCAGGATTTACACGAACATTATATCTTATCATGTCGACCCAACATTGTTGAATTTCTTCTTTATAAGACAACAATACAAAATCCACTATACACTGTACGACCTAAACAACTGGGCCTGTGAACTGTATAATTTCAAACTGTTAGTTATTGTTGTTACGTCTGTGTTCGTTTGTTAATTTTTCGTAGAAATTCTTTCCGAGAAACTTCAGCGATACAAGTCTTTTCTTAAATAAACTAGTTTATTCATTCTCAATTCAACTTTGCAATACAATTAATTTCCACAATCAATTTAACTTACACACACGTTATAATTCACAAAGAACGGTTCATGCAATTTACTTACTACCGCGCTTGACTCAGTTGTCCGTCTCTAGCTTTGCCTGTCTGCAATTATCCATCTATCTATGCCGTCACTTCTCGCCGGTTTTATATATACGAAATAGAGGGCGTCTGGTAAACACTCGAGCCTTCACGAACGTTCTAGATACTCATCAAGCGTTACCAGCGTCACGTGAATTCCGCTGTCGTAACACTGCCCCTTCCTTGGTATTGTTCTTCCCAAACAATAGCCACTTACATTAAACCAATAGATAATTAAAAATAACGTAATTAAATGTACAGAATTTACAAACACAAAATTAAAATTCAACAAAGTATCTTAATTTTACGTACTGGTCTCCGTCTCGTTGGCTTCTGCTTCACGTGGGGCTCATCTGCTCCATTAGGAAATGTCCAATTATCGGTAAAAGGCACATCAGTGATAGTAACTTCATCAAGGGCTTCACTGTTTCCCTTCTCAAAACCGGGTAGAGTTTCTTCTTGGACAGTGGCTTTTTCAGGTGACACGCCTTCAGCAGCGTCATTTGTTCCACTGTTCCTTTCATTCCAACTGAAATGTCCTGGACCATGATAACGCCAAAGCCTGTTCGCATGCACCACCTTTGGCTTACCTCGCCGACCACATTTTATTCGGAAAATCACGTCTGAGAGACGATCCACTATGTCATATGGGCTTTCCCATGGAGACGACAACTTAGGAGACTTCCCTTTGGTCTTCCTGGGATTATACAACCACACCTTGTCTCCTGGTACAAAGCTGACTTCAGTAGATCTCTTATCAGAACATAACTTCATCAAATCAGCAGAAGTTTTCAAGTTTGAACGTACTTCATGGTGAATATCATCTATCCTTTCTGATAACACTTTCACAAACTCTGACACATTCTCAGGCAACTCTTCATAAGGTGGGCGTCCTGTTAACAGATCCACTGGCAACCGAAGTTCCCGACCAAACATCAACTTTGCTGGAGTGTATGCAGTGGCTTCATGCTCTGCTGTTCTATAGGCCATCAACACTGGAGAGAGTAAGATATCCCAGTCATCTTGGCGGCTATTACAAAACGTTGCCAATTCCTGTCCCAGTGTCCAGTTGCATTTTCTACCATCACATCAGACTGTGGGTGAGGTGGCGTTGTTCTGGTTTTTCGTATGCCAAACAACTTGCAACATTCATGGAACACAGCTGATTCAAAGTTACGGCCTTGATCCGAATGCAGTTCGTATGGCATACCGAATCTGAAGAAGAAATCGGTCACCAATACCCGAAGCTACAGTTCTAGCTTTCTGATATAGTATTGCATATGCCTCAGGCCACTTGGTGAAATAATCCATCACCACACAAATGTACTTATTTCCAGCATGAGTTTCGGGCAGAGGACCAACAGCTACCCTTTCCATTGGTGCGCCAACTTGATATAACTTCATTGGAGCACGTCCCTTATGCTTGGGTCCCCTTTTAGCACAACATGTACTGCAGATCTTGCACCATTCTTCCACATCTTGCCTCATGCCTATCCAGTAAAATCTCTGTCGCAGGTGACTCAATGTCTTCTTAACTCCGAGATGTCCTCCTATTAAACTATCATGGGATTGACGCAGCACAACTTCCCGTAACTTTCTTGGTATAACCGTTTGCCAGGCCGTCACATTCCCATCTACAGTTTCCCATCTCCAGAGAAGAATACCATATTCAAGCTTCAACTGGTCCCATTGTACCCAATAGTTCTTTGTCACAGGGCTTAAGCTAGGCACCTTCTCCCAAGCAGGGTGAAAAACACTTACTTTTAGAAATTCCATTAATGGCTTCAAATCTTAGTCTTTCTCCTGTTCTGCTTTAATATCTATACTTGGTTCCACTTCACTATCATCAACTCCTTAAGTCACTTTGACTTCAGCTTGATGGCACCTGGTTAGTTCAACCTCTCTTTTACAGCAATGTCTCTAGTCGTTTTTGCAGGGTCTTCGGCTTAGTGCGTCAGCATTTCCATGAGATTTTCCTTCTTTTTATTCAATATTATAATTATACTGGTCTATCTTTCCGATCCAACGTGCCAGTTGTCCCTCTGGGTTCTATAATGATCTTAACCAGTGTAATGCAGCATGACGGTAAACCTAGTCCCGCAGGGGTAAGGATGGAAATACGACAGACTCTTTACTATAGCAAGGATTTCCCTTCATGTTACACAGTAGTTCCTCTCTGGTCTACTCAGGACCCTACTAAACTAGGCCACCACATGTTCGTTTTCGCCCACTTTCTCAGACAACACTCCTCCAATTCCGACATTACTAGCATCACAATCCTGTATATACGACAGCGAGGGATTTGGAAGCTTTAAAAGTGGAACTGAGGCCAATTTTTCTTTCAAAGTCTTAAAAGCATGCTGGCAAGAAACTGTCCATTCGAACTTCTGGCCTTTTTTTGTCAAATCATGTAGTGGAGCAGCTATAGTTGCAAAGTCCTTCACAAACTTCCGGTAATAGATACAGAACCCCAATAAACTTCTTAACTCTCCTACATTGTCTGGTATTGGCCAATCATGCACTGATTTCCCCTTTTAGGATCAGTTCGCACCCCATGCTCACTTACAATGTGACCCAAGTAAAGCACCTCTTTCTGGAACAAGTGACATTTCTTGGGATGGAGTTTGAGGTTTGCTGCTTTCAAACGTTTGAATACTTCCTCGTCAAATGTTGCTGCAAACACAATGACATCATCCAGGTACACTAGGGCTATCCTCCATTGTATGCCTTGCAGTACTCTTTCCATCAGCCTCTCAAATGTTGCTGGAGTATTGCTGAGCCCAAATGGCATCACACAGTATTGCCAGATATTTTGGCCACAACTAAATGCAGTCTTAGGTTTATCTTCTTCAGACATTTTCACTTGATGGAAACCCGACTTTAAGTCCAGAGTTGAATACCACCTGGCTTCACTTAGGGCATCAAGAGTATCATCAATTATTGGCAGTGGGTATGGGTGTTTTTCAGTTATACTGATAAGAGCCCTGAAGTCCACACGGCAACGTTGGGTCCCATCCTTCTTCTGGACTAACACGACGGGAGCTGACCAGGGACTATCTGATTTCTTGACTATCCCTCCTTTAATTAGGCAATCCATGCCATTCTCTATCTCTTGTCGCTTTGCCGGAGCTACTCTCCTCGGAGGGATCTTTATTGGACGGTGATTGTCTGTGTTTATTCTGTGATCCACAAGGTCTGTGCAGCCAAGGTCATGATCTCCTTTTGAAAAGACGTCTGCATAATTCGCCAAGAGTTTTCTAGCCTGAAGAGCCTGTGATGATGACAAATAGACTATGCTCTTCGTATAGAGGTCAGTTAAATGTTCTGGGAGAGGATGTCCTTTCTTTTTGGTTGTCTTTCTTGCCTTAGTATTGCCTAGCTCTACTTCCTGGCACCTACACAACAATGCTCCTTCCTTAATTGTCTGCTCACATTTAGAGAAATTAGCCATTGTAATGGGTACTACTTGATGACCTGTCACAAGTGACCTTTCAATCTTCACGTCCACTGGCTTGGGTAGGTCTTCCACTGCTTCCACAAGCATCGGGCTTCATTGGGATGTTC